ACAGCTGCTTATTATGACTTAATTTATTTTCTGGTGCTTTCACTTCCTGACAGTTGTAATCACTATGGCTTGTTTTACAACGTCGTTGCCAAGCGACGAAAACCCCACCCCGATAGCAAACACCGGGGGGGGCGGGGGCGGCTTGTTTTACAACGTCGTTGCCGAGCGACGACAACCCAACCCCGATGGCAAACACCGGGGAGAGGGGGGTGACGGGTGGACGGGGGGCGCAAAATACGATGTTTCGTAAAATAAACGGGACACACGGCACGCTAACCGCCATCAGACCTATCGACGTGTGTACTTGGAAAATTAAAAGAACACAATAACCCCGTGAAGAGAAAAAAAAAAAACAATGGGGGGAGGGGGAGGCGCGAACAATGTTATCCCATAAAATACATGGGGCACGCTCGGTACACTACCCCCCAACAAACCTGTCGACTTGTGGACGTGTGAAACGCACGACGGATCATTGTCCACTCTGCAGCCTATTAGTTTGTCCTATCACCGCATGTTGTTACGACGTGGAGAAAAAAATAGCCTGCTTCCGTGGTATGTATACACTTGCACCAATGTGCCAAATTACCCAAGCCTCCGTCGAATGGCACGTCCTACCGTGGTAAACCGCGCGGGGCAGAACCACAATCGCGCTGGGTGGGTTCGCTTTCAGCCATTCACCACGCGTTTTAGTTGGTTGCAGGAATGACAATCTCAGCTTAAAAGCTACACCTGCACGTGCCACCCGCAACGCTTGCACCAAAACACAGAATGCATGACGGTAGGGTGGACTCGTGACGACCCACGCCGGCCGCACCGCCTTCTCCGTGAACACCTCGCGGAAGGCATCTGACCCAGCGTTGAGATGGTAATCGGCCCCCAGCCTTCATATGAACGATGCACCAGAGCACGGATAGTAGGGCGTGCGGAGTTCGATCTCTAGGAACAGGTCGAGAAACCAAGGCACGCAATCGCAAGCTGTTTTGGCGTCAGACTCCACGGCTACTACGTCTTGTGTGCATGTGTCAATAATCCAAAAGACTGTCCTTCCGCGTGCTGGTCATCCTGGCCACTTCGCGCACGGGACCGCACGATCGCTTGCTGCGCCCAAAAGACTACTGGCGAACTTCCTCCTCTATCGGGAATCAGAGACAGCATTGACTCAGCATACTTAGCGGATCAAGGCTGGAGGATACCTCACACCGCTGCGGCTTTACTTTACCGACTTGCCAAAAAAATAAAAATCAAAACCACCAGCCAACTCACGCAGCATTCAAGTCCTTCGTCATGACACGCATGCCATGATTCCCAGCACCCTGCTCACAGCGTCGCCGCTTGCCCCGCTAGCATCCAGGACGCTGCCTTCGACGCCAACATGCTCGAGAAGGTGTCGAACCTGCAATATTTGCTTTCCGAGAGCAGGGTGGTGGTAAGAAGCTGGTAGTTAATGAGAAAGCCTTGTCCTCACAGTACCTGCTAATATCCGTGTAGGCCCAACCGACGCGGACGCCTTCCTCGCTCACACACCAACTACCACCAACCTATAGAAGCTTGCGTGTTGAAATACATAGCCCGTTGAAAAACTTCCGCCACCACAAAAAACGAATGCTGCTGTGTCTCGTCGGGTGTGTCAGCTCATAGACTTAATGACGTCTACATATATATATACCCGCCTACACGTGCCTACAGTTACATAATTGGTACATTCGACATTATATCATCGTCGAGGGGCACGTGTTGCAAGTCTTGGAGACGAGTTGGGGAGAATGCCTGGCGGATACAAGTTTCGTTGCTGAGTGCGGTGGGTGTGCATGCACGTGTGTGATTCTTGCAGATGCGGCCGCTCTGCTGCTGTTGCTGGGTGCGCGTTAGGAATACGACGGCGCGGGACAACGCTAAAACGGTTTACGTCCACACTACTACCGGAAGCCATCGCATGGCAAGCACCATACATTGTTGAGCGTTTAGGTCTGGTCTGACTAACATACGGGAGCCACACCCGTCGCACCGAAGTGCGTGATTGACGATTCTCCCGCAAAAAAAACAGAACGACGACAACACAACGAGGTGATGTGAAGACAACAACACCTAGAGGGGGTGTGGGCTTCGTAGCTCATGCATGAACTTCTTACCTGCGATATTGTCGATGGATAGCGACCCGTACGAGACCTTTGTCCTATCTTCATAGTATCCCATGAACCCGTCTTTTCCTTCAAACAGTGGATCTTGAACACAGCGAACAGGTCGTACACACAGTCGGAGCGACGGCATACGCATTCCCCAGCCGTGAGAGGCCTTGTCACCAGATCACGGTCATGGACCCATCCTTCACCGACCTGCGCAGCCCACTCCTGCAGAGTTTGGGCCGTTCCCCACGTGCTTCCACCTCCCACCTGGTCCTGGTCCAACCCGCCCACACGCGAAGCAAAGCATATCACCACCGTCGGACGGTTCGCCGTGTACTTGTCGCCCGCACCCCGCAAGAGGCCCTTTTCTTGACCTTTTGGCGCGAAAACCCGCCGCCTGTGCAGGTGGGCAAATCTCTGAGTTCTCCATCCACAGACCTTGAACCAGAGTTCTGGCGGGTGACATAAAATGCCCATAACCTAAGCTGCTTGGATGACCAGCAGTTCCCAGTCAAAAGATTAATCCCCATTACGGACACGCTGTCAAGTGCACGGGGGTTGGATCGGTTGAAGCTCTGGGCAGGTCGACCGTCGGGGCGTTATCACACATCCGCACCGGTAAACAGCAACGTGAAACCACCTCTAATACCACCGCGGTGTACGCACAGGTAAGTGTAGTTCTTTTTCGTTGGCGATGTTGGGCTGTGGGGGCTGCAGATACGCGTTGTGGAAGGTCTGCTTTGACGGGATGTTTGTCGGGGGGGGCTGCGTAAGGACGTATTCCCGGCTGGAGATACGCCTGATTCTCTCTTTCGGCATCATGCCATCGAAAAAATACTACACTTTTGGACCAAAGAAGTCGCACGCAGCCAGCATCTACACGTTCTTCACATCAAACGATAGCTGAGCACCACAGCTACTCGTCCCTGCTTTCAATACTCCAAACGGTGGCCTACAACGTTCGCGAGATCGATACCCAGTGCGAACAAAAAAGGCGGCGCAATCTGAAGTCCTGACACTGAGTCACCTACCGTACATTACATGAATTCCATTACCCTGTACTGTAGAATATCCTACGGTGCGTTTACTCGGAAACAGAGCAAATGGCTTCAGACCGCAGAGGACAGGGGGCGAAGGACAATGGCCCCCGACAAGCTACAGAAGAAGTATTCTTGAAAGTCAGACGTCAGACAAAGCGACTGCTGTTGCTGCTTTGGTTTCCGTTGGGGCGCCGGGGATTGTGCCAGTCCTTGCTGCGCACCCGTGCGAAAATCGCTTTATGTCACAAAAAAAATGGTGGCAGAAGCATAGTCTACATGTAGCATTTGTGCGGCGTCCTTTCACATTCTCTGTAGGGAGTCATTTTCTGTGCTATCGGCATGCTGTGTGCGCGCCTATGCGCGTGCGTGCGGTCGTCTGCTACGCGGCTGCGCGGGCTGGGGGGGGGGGGGG